GGCAATCTGGTTCCCCCGTCTACCTTCCACCCAAGGAAACGTGCAGGCGCACAGAAAACAAATTGGAGACGCGATGCTCTTCTGTTGCGTTGCTTTCGCGTACATGGCCAGGCTCCGTCTGTGCAAGGAGTATGCCGCTAGCGGCGCACCACCCCGAACAGCACGTGCAACGATTGCATTGTACGCCGCCGTGATACGGAGGTCCTCGTCCTCGTCCGCTGGATGAACAAGTTCGGCGATGGGCATCACGACGGAACCGTGCACCTCGCGGACGTGCCCGCACAACTCGCCTACTACCTCCGACCGCCACGTACATCCCACGAACGCACAGTGCACGACTGGCAACTCCACGGCCATGTCCTCCGCCAGGGCTTGCGACCATGGTTGCGCGGGGTCGTCTGGATCCGCGGGCACGGTTGGGTGACGCCGTACACTGGCTGCAGCAGCTGCCACGAGGACTTCTCGGGTCCGTCGGGGATCTTTCGACGCCGCGTCTACGCCGACATTGTAGAACGCCTGCTGCATTGCGTCCGCTGGGGGGGCGCCGTCTCCGACGCTCCCCGATGGATCTTTCTCCTTTCCTTTCTCCCCGGCCGCGTTTCCACCGCCGCCCGCTGCCGATCCGATGGCGCTTCCCGCGCAGTCGGCGGCGCACCCAGCCGCGTCGCCACACCCCCCCCCGCTCCACGCGGCAACCAAACCTTTCCTCGATTTGCCGCTGTCGCCCACGGTGGCCCCAGCCCGCCGCCGCTTGCGTGCTCCGGCTTCTTGTGCCCCGGGCTCATGGCCAGGTGGTGGCGGCGCCAGCGCGCCCGAGGCGCTCGCGCCGGGATCACTCGCGCTCACTGCGGCGATTGCTCTCCGCCGCTCACGCGCCACGTCCCTTTCCAGTTCCATGCGCGGCGGCGGCGGCGTTACTCTTGGACGCTCCTCCACCCGCCTACCAGCGTTCTCGTTGCACGCAGCGCACTGGTCGCGCAGCGCCCGCGGTAGCGTCGTATCGGTCCAGAAAGCCCGACCGTCGAGTTCCGCTCCTCGGAAATGCGTTGGCTCCTCCCACCACAGCGCAATCCAATGAGAGAAATCGCGTTGTTCGCTGCCGATACTGCACACACAACTGCGCGAGCCGGACGGCAACCGGTCTCTGAACAAGAGGACCCCCAATTGTAGTCTGTCGCTCAAACTGGCCACGTCCGTTTCGGTACCCCAATGCGCGTGGCCTGGGCGGCTCATCGCGTCCTCTAATGTGCACCGAAGCTGCAGCAAACCTGCGGCGCCGCGAGGTATGCGAACGTGTATTTCCTGCGACGCCCCACCGCCACGCCGCGCGTCCGTGCATCCAACGATGGCCACGGCGTCCCCGTCGGGTTCGTCCTGCCACGCGCGGACTGCATCTGGAACATTATCTGGCGACGCCAATGCTTGCATATTGCACGCGTGCAGTACTTCGAAAGGATCCCACTCGTCCGGGTGGTCTCTGTGGCGCGCTCGCATGCACGCAGTTATCATGAAATTCAGCACATCCAGGTCGTCCCACGCGTGAAACACCTGTGCAGCTTGGCGTCGAAGCTCGAGCATGACCGCGCGCTGACCTTCGTCGAACACACTCTTCGGGATTTTCTGCAAGACGTGTTGCGCTGGTTCGCCACCGTGAACTACCATGCGCGCGAGGATCCCTGCGATGCTCAAAAACAAGCAGTCGCCACCACCACCGAATTCTATACCTTGGAGGTACCCCAGACTCCTGCCTGCGCCATTGTTCAACGCGGACACGTAGCGCTGCAGCGCCCCCGACACGGGCTGCGGCGAGCCTCGCGCCCACCCCAAGGGCCGAGCGGCTACGTGACTGGCGCTTCTCGTGCACGTCCTCTGTCCTTCTTGGCAGCTACGGCCAGTTGCGTCCATCGTGGCGGGCACGCGAGATGCACAGTCAGCTGCCTCGCGCCCTCTTCCGTTCGCGCTTCTCTCGTCCTCTCCTTCCGCGGTGGCGCTGCTCGGTGGCCCCGCGACGCCGCGACCGCCGGCAGCAAACCGCAACCACGGTGCATGCCCACGTGCTCCTTCCACTCCGCGCAGGCTGCGCCATCCTTGACCTACGCGCACCAGATGGCCCTCCGCGAACCACACGGCTGCACCTACACAACTCCCTCCGACATCGCCCAACGGCCATTTTACGAGCAGAGTTCTTTGCATGAAGTGTGCCACACTTTGCGCCTCGTACACCCAGACGAACGTTTGTTGGCAACGCAACCATGCCTCGGCGGCCAACATGTTCTGCCGCGCATCCGGATCCCCCATGCTCTCCCCAGAGACCACGTGATTGGCGCAACTTCGTTCAAAACTTCTGAGAGCGTCCCTTCGCCATTGTCCTCGACGCATCTTAGCTATTGCAATTTGGACACACTTATTCTCAAAGCGCCCCAGAGTGTCCACGTCCTCTGCCAACGCCCGGAGTTCTGCACACAAAGCAGGCGACGCGTACATGGCCCACGCGACGGCCACTCGCAGCACCCCTTCGCCAACAGTCTCCGCGCCCTCCCTGTTCGGATGGCTCCTTCTCTGTTGCCTCCCTGATTTGCGGTTGCAGCCAATCCCCGGCGAGCGCCGCGCGCGAACTCTGCGAGATTTCCCCGCGCGGCGCGCTTTTTTATTTTTTTTTTTTATTTTTTTTTTTTTTTTATTTCATATTTTTTATTTTTTTTTTTTTTTTTTTTTTTTTTTTTTTTTACGTTTTTTTTTTTTTTTTTTTTTTTTTTTTTTTTTTTTTTTTTTTTTTTTTTTTTTTTTTTCTTTTTTTTTTTTTTTTTGGTTTTTTTTTTTTGTTATTTTTTTATTTTGTTTTTTTTTTCTTTTATATTTTTTTTTTTTTTTTTTTTTTTTTTTTTTTTTTTTTTTTTTTTTTTTTTTTAATTTTTTTTTTTTTTTGTTTTTTTTTTTTTTTTTTTTTTTTTTCATTTCTTTTTTTTTTTTTTTTTTTTTTTTTTTTTTTTTTTTTTTTTTTTTTTTTTTTTTTTTTTTTTTTTTTATTATTTTTTTTTTTTTTTTATTTTTTTTTTTTTTTTTTTTTTTTTTTTTTTCGTTTTGGTTTTTTTTTTTTTTTTTTTTTTTTTCTTCGCGGCCCGACGCGCGCGCAGCAAGACGCAGAAGACACGCCTGCGACGCAAAACGCGATAGTCTTTCCTTTCTGTCGTTCACGGGGCGCGTCTGGAGAGAACCTAGCCGCCGATCACCCCTCTTCTCTGTCATCGGGCGCCCCTGGGACACAATTCGCACGCGTGTCCTTCTCCCCTCGTAGAGGGTTCGCCCGTGTGCGCAATTCCAAAGGCCTCTGCCCTCTCTCTGGACCGGTGACTGCGTTTCGGACCAGAATGGCGATCGCACCCATTTTCTATGATCCACCAGGGGGGCCTGCGGAGTCAATCGCGCCAGCTTCCCCTTTGTGCCGTCCAAAACACGGTCCTTGGGAAAAATCCGCGATAGTTTCCCCCTTCCACCGCCAAGAAACAGCGTCTGCGAAAATTGCCGCGCCGGCACACGCCGTCTGTCATCCGAAAAAGCTGCTTGGGGGGCCCTTCGAAATAGTGTCCCCCTTCTTACGTTCGCAGCCTGCATCGGAAGCTTCATCCTCCCAACCCGGTGGACGTCCAGGGCTGCTGCATCTGACCGTTTCAATGCACATCGACTCAGTATTGGATGTTTGCAGCAACGCGAACGAGTCCCGAAGGACTCTTTCGCGTTACACCCCTCCCGGGGGCCCACCTTCAGGCTAGTGGGGTGACCTCTAGGTTGAAATTGGCTCAACCGGAAAAGCCCTTGGTTGCTTAGGGTGCAACCGGTAAAACCCTCGTGGCCCGACGGCGCCATCCCCGGCATCCAGGGAAGTACTGCGCCCACCCCACCTAGGAGCTTGGGCTTCGTACTCCCCCTTCCCCCGGAGACGGGCCTCCCTGTCGGCCGGCCCTCTGGAGGGGCCCTGCTGTAGCCCTCAAGGCTTGAGCCTGAGATCGCGCGACGTCCGTCTTCTCGTCGCCTTTCCTCCGTTTCTCTCCTTCCTCCCCTCCCGCCCCTGGCCCCCCCCCTATCCCTTTCCACCCCATGAACTTTCGCTCTACTCCTACTCGTTTGTCATCCTGATACACCGACGTCACACATATACACGTCGACGTCAAGCAAATACGTCACAAGAGCGGAAAAGTCCTGAACAGGGCGGAACACGAGAAGCAGGAGGAGGAGGAGGAGCAGGCAGGTATCCCACCTACTCGTCCTCATGTCTTCGTCCACCTCCTCCTCCTTCTCCTCCTCCTCCTTCCTCCTCCTCCTTTCTCCTCCTCCTCCTCCTCCTCCTTCCTCCTCCTCCTCCTCCTCCTCCTCTGAATGGGGACCAGTGCGTCGCTGCCCTCGCGAGGCTCCGCGCGGTTACGAGACGACGTGTCAGATAATCACGCTCAACGTGTCCGAAGTCGGCTCAAAGTAGGTCCCCGGAGCTCTCCCTGGGCCCGTCCGACGCGGTTTTGGACCCCGGGTCCGTTTCTGAGCCCCCCGGGGCCCGAGAACGACCTCCAGACGCCGAAAGGGCCGAAAAAACACCTAAATCGTTGTCGTCGTCCGCCGTCGTCGTCACCGTCGTCAGTCGTCCGTCGGACGGAACGCCGCTCTGCCAAACTGCAACCACGGTTCGGGGGAACGTACGAGTGACCTTTGGCAGGAGCGACCTTCGGTGCGCAAGAATCCGCTCAAAATCGACCCCCGGACACCTCCCCGGGTCCAAACGCACCAGTTTTCCGAGCTGTGTCCTGCCGTGGTGACGAGGGGGCCCCCCGAGGGCCACAACGCCGCGTACCAAAGGTCACACCGGCGACAGGTCACACTTACGCGTCGGCGGGTCACACTTACCGCCAAACATACGAGATATGTTCCCTCCCGTGAAGCGTCCCATACCTTTTGCTTTTGCTCGTGTAAAGAAGACCCGCCCCTATGAATCACAATGTTGGGGAAGTCCGGCCGGAGACATTTTTTGTACCACTCCAAGTTTGTAGGATGCACCCACACATGGATAGATGACTGCGAAACCCG